CCTACTCCCTGTGTGCTGNAGTCTCATAAATGTATATGTATATATATATNTATATATATATATATATATATATTTATATATATATATTGGGCTATTAGGATATCGGGATATTGGGATATACCTTCAAATGTGCATGTAGGACATGCAGGCACGAGTGTATGTGTTTGCAGTGATGTATTGAGATCCATTTTTTAAGAGTGTTTCACATGCAAAAGTTTTGACATATGTTTACTTGGCGGTACATGTCATTAAGAACTCAAAGTGTTGCGCCAAATTTCTTTTATTTGGCACACACGAATTTTTATCTCTTGTAAAATGTCAGTTCTCTGATCATATGGTACTTGGCCGATAGTTTTGTTAACGAACATTTTCACTGTCCCTTGACATGTATCGACTCCTACTAAGATGTGATTGAGATCTGATCAACAGAAAAGAAGACTGCAATACTTGTTGATCGGCTAGCGAATTCGTGATGAACTGCATTGCACTACAAACATTCAACACTATATTGACTAGTCACATGCAAACCAGATAATTTAAATCACGGTTGTATGTTATCGTACTGTTAGAGTATTATAACGTACGATAGTATGTATGAATATATATCTGTATGCTCAGACACACGCACAGTATATATTTATATATATATATAACGTAGACGTAAACGTAAACGTATATTCCTATGTACACATGTGCGTGTGGCTATGTATATATGTGTAAGTGTGTATGAGTTTATTCACATATACATTCAATTCATGTATGCATATGAATATACGTATATGTACATCGCCATATGCAAATACACGCATATGTATTTAGACATATACGTCCACACATTTAGAGGTATATGTATCTATATATATATTGAGATTGTATAGAAATGTGTTGGACAGACGCCGATCGTTCGTCACAAGTCATATACATGTATGCAAGTTGCTAATCTTTCGTGGGTGAAAGTTTATGCCAATTCTTTAGGTAATGTATGGCGATCTTCTATTATCGATATTTCCGTTTCTGTATATATCTGCTTAAAATACATCAGGTATAACTTATATGTTTTTATCAGATGCATGTATATATATGTGCATATATTTCTGTACAAGTATGTTCATTGCACATCAAATGCAGAACGCCACTACATAGTTTAGTACTTGTGAATGCCAGCTGTTTGTGAGGATGATGTTTGGAATTGTCACAGTCCTAATAAGTTGGAGAGAGTTAGCAAATGTCAAGCATGTACACGCGCACGATATCACGTCTACTCTTCACCATGGACTATGTTTCTAAACCTTTGCTACAAGTGCACAGTGTTATCATTGGTATCATCATAACCTCTATGTAGTTGAATCTTGCCCTGAAGTACAGACTGGTATCATTATTATTCCTTGATGATCCAACGTGGCAGATTTTTGTGTCCCACAATATTTGCTTATCTTCTCGGAATGAAAAGATCAAGGGCAATTGTTGAATACTTTCTGATCTGCAATTATTGCCCTCCCCACCAGTTGTACTGACTATCTACACAATACATACGAACGCACACCAAACTCGAAACTTTATGCGGCAAACAACTTGATATGACTGCACTTTTACTAAAAACCTCGCAAACCTTGCCACCCGCTTCATGCGAAGATCCCGCAGAGGATTTCATAATCTTGCCCGCCGACAGCGAGAGTGAGTGCGAAAGTGAAGTGTCTGACAATGACGACGACAAGACCGAGGAGGTGGCTTCTGAGGGTGCTGTAGCTAACATTGCGGACCACATGGACAATGCGGAGACGTCTAAGATACGGGCACAGATTGAAGAAACTCTAGGCTCAGAAGTGGTGGCTGAGACGACGGCCGGGGGCAAGCGCAAGAAGGTCAAGAAGGTATGGAAGTCGTGTATAGTGGACAGGATCATATATATATATATATATATATATATGTATATATATTTATACATGTATAGCACACACACACATATATATATATGTATGTATGTATGTATGTATGTATGTATGTACGTGCGTATTTATGTATATATGTATATGTATATACATCTATATGTCTTCGTGTGTAGTGTATAGTATGCAACAAATAAGTGAAAATTTGGTTCAGAAGATACGCGAAGACCTCGCTTGAGCAGCATAGTCTGCATTGATTAATCGAAAACTAGTATTCATCATACAATGTTTCACTGTATTGGTTCACAGGTCAAAGGAGAGAACCTAACCGGCAAGCGAGGTGTGGTGTACCTAGGGCACATTCCTTCTGGTTTCTATGAGGAGGAGATGAAGGCTTTCTTCGGCCAGTTCGGAAGTGTTACCAAGGTCAAGCTGATGCGTAGTAGAAAGGTGAGTGTACGAGATGTTGTTTGTTTTTTAGTCGTAGATGCACAACTGGATCACTTAAGGACATTTGTGTGGCGTACGACCCACAATCTTGTGCTGTGCATTTTGCAACGGTTGTGCTGTGTACTACGCTCACTGCATCTCTAACTATTGTTCTCTCGTTCTCTCGGGCATACAGACCGCCAATAGCAAAGGATATGGTTACATCGAGTTTGAACACGAGGAAGTCGCCGACATTGTCGCATCGGCTATGAACAACTACCTTCTATTCGAGCGAGTATTACAATGTATGTATCTGGTTATAATCCATTGATGTTGATGTTGTTAGTGCCACTGCACGCACTGACGTATATAAATATGTGTATGTAGTCTAACCTGAAAAAGTATTTAACGCTTATCGGAGCAAATTTTAACTCGATAGTCACTATCGTCAAGAATGTGTTGCTCTAGTCCAGGCGTGTGAACACATGTGTCTCAATAAACTGGCATCATCATATACCTCAGAATTTATACTCACCGCGCTCTGTGTACACATCTCCAGGTAAACGAGTGCCCGAAGGCGAGGTTACGCCCGTCATGTTCAAAGGGCATGACAAGAAGTTCAAGAAGGTAGACTGGCTTGCACGTGAACGTTTCGCCTCGAGAAAGCCTAAGACTGCGGAACGGGTGCAGGCCATCACCGCCAACTTACTCAAGAAGGAACGCAAACACAGAGCCAAACTTGTTGCACTGGGCATTGACTACGAGTACCCAGGATATGTAAGTTTGTTTCACAGAGTCGACGTTTCGGAATAGTGTTCTGATTGAGCTTGTTGCTTCCGTAGTCGTTGTATGGATTATACATTATACTTAAAGAGTGTCCTTAGGCCAGGAACGTCTATCTCTGCATATAGAGTTTATTTCTCGGGTCTGGTTTCTGGGGCTCGGAGCACTGCTCGCTCATTGCCATCACTTAACTAATTCCCATCATTTACGAACCCTACATAACAGACCGCTGAGGCCGCAACTAAGCCTGAAGCCACCGTCACAGAGCAAACATCAGAAAAGGCCCCGGAAAAGACCCCTAAAGCCGAGTCAGCACCCACCCCCAATAGCACAAAGAAAAGCTCGGGCAAAACCGCGAAGTCAAATACAAGCACACCCACCACACAAAAAGCACCTGCACAAGCGGCTAAGAAGACACCGACTACTAAGAAGGCACCTACGCCAAGCCCTGCGCCTGCTGCGGGGAAAAGAAAGGCGACCCCTCCGAGTGCGTCTAAGTCATCTAAGAAGAAGAAGAGTAGTGCGTAAGGGAATAGAAGCTTGGCTGTTATAATATGGGAGATGATGTGTTGTTGAACATGTCATGTCAATGATTTAGAAAGAGTGTTTGGGATCTACCTGTGCGTGTATGGAATATAAGATGGCTGGATACTGTAATAGATGCATTATGCCATACTCTAGCAAAGCTCCAACACACATACATGCAATGACACACGTGTGGAAGAGCCCGGTATTAGTTGGACAGAGTCCAGACACGCATAACCCGGATGTAAATAAATAACGTCAGTCCGATACTGAGACTTGGCGATTTCATATATTTTCCGATCGGTCACGCCCCCAATTCGACTTTCGCTGCCTGCATTCTGAAACGATAGTACATTGATATTGGTTTTGTGTTTGATGTTGGATATATTTTTAGCACATAAGCGGGTTGTATTGCCGTTGTGTAGTTAATTTCGCAATGCGGACTAAACTTGAGTTTTCTGTAGAGCACTGTCGAGCAGTCATGTCTGTCACGAGCTGTTCCAGATTTTCGAACAATCTGCCCTTTCTCGCTCTTCATACTGAAGCTCTTACAGCTTAATCAACGATAATAAGCGTTGCACTGAGAGCTAAAATTAATTGGTTGTAGCTGATTGCTTGCCCTGCGGTCAGACCGTGCATTCATCTATTTCACTAAATTAATCGTAACAAGATAATGAAATCGAAATCCATAGCCCTCCGTTGCATTTCAGAAGGCTATGCGAAATCCCGTCACCCATGATGTGTGTATTTGTGAACATTCAGAATATTGATACTACGACCGTTTTGGTATTTGTAAACATACATAGGGAACGAGTAACGATACGGTGTTTTAGAATTATTTTCAGACGTATATGTAGATACTTGACACCTCTAGAAAATAGCTAAATACTGTCGAGACATGACTTCTACTAGAAAATATTGTGCCGTTTATGTACCAGGCACGATGTGTGGCACCTGTCCACGTCAAAGGCTCAACAATGAACAAATCTCAAACTTCTCGAACTCGAATATTATTGTTGGAATACGGCAGACAGGCGCAGAGCTGGGCGGCTCTGCGCCTGGGCCCGGGGGTATAAAATACTAAATAAACTGGCACCATAGCAGGCCAACAAAAGGCTAAAAAAGAAACCACAAGTTTAAAACTAAATACTGGTATCAATACTCTTAATTTCCAGCCTCCCTGGCGGTCTGGTGACTCTGGTTCCTGCTCTAGAATCAATACTATTTCTAATGCCGAGCCTTCTGAAATATACACAAAAGGCTATACTCATGCATTGTTATTTAATTTTGTGCCCTGTCCCCCAGTGGATCCATCCACAAGAACAAGGAATGCTACCAGTGGTCTGGATAATGCGGAGACCTAAAAAAGTGTACCATGTCATATTGTCAGAAGAGTGCCCACGCTTCTGACATATACAAGATCCGTATCGACTTCTAGTTCTGACCGGACTCTCCGCGTGTACCCTTCAGACTACAATATATCGTCTTGTTCTTGTCCAAAGAATGCTAGTAGTTGTCAGATATGAAATAGTACACACAATCTATTTAGAGAGCTTTTATTTGTCTCTGCCTATTTTCTCTCCCATACGTTTGACGCCTGTACTATTTATATCATAATAACAATGTTTGTTTCTGTCAAAAGAATTTTGGTGCTGTATCTCTGGCTAATACAATTCACATCACAATATCAATGTTTGTTCTTATCCAAAGAATGTAGGTGGTAGTCAACTATAAGATATTACTTAACGTCCGATGTAGCATTATTTATCTCTGTCTAATCTAAAACCCTGTACGCTTCAGACCAGAAAAGCCACCATTATTCTTGTTCAATCATTGTTGAAGGTAGTCATCTATAAAATAGTATATAGCATTTATTTATTTTATCTGTCGAATTATTCTCCTCGCGCACATTGTACACCTGTACCCTTCAGACTACAAGAGCCACCACTGTTCTTGTCCAAATACTGTTGATGAAAGTCCTCTGCATAGAAAAATTTGGGTGCAGGTCCCTCCCTTAAATCAGTAGAGATATGACCCTTGCCTGCCTGTGTTAGGGCCTCTTTATAAGTATCTCTTGACCTGAAGAATCAACGAAGAGCAAGTACAATAGATGCGTCAGAAAACAGTATGATACAATTGTTATTAGAGTGCACAAATATATACACACAACGCACAATTAGTATTTTTGAATGTTATTGTATAGTGACTATAAGTATGTACAGTATGGCATACTCCTTAAGAAAGTAAGTAAGTGTAGGCAGTGGCATGAATATGTATATCCAAATATTAAAGGGAAGGAGTCTAATTCATACTCGCTCATACAAACTTTTGGAAAATCACGTGTTCTTTGTTCCACTTTTGGTGATGCACAATAAACATACTTCTTGGCAATTTGATACTGCTCGTCCGTTTCCAAATAGAGAGCCGATCTGTACTGCGTTCCTACATCATTTCCCTGTCTGTTCTGCTGTGTGGGGTCGTGTGATTCCCAGAACTGATAGTGGAGGAAAGTGTAGATTGTTAAATTAGGGCTCACAACAACCAACTAAAAAATACATAGTGGCGTGATGGAGCGAATAGTTGTACGAATTAGTGCTCACAATGAGAGCAATGCACAAGAGCTGGTGATATGTAGGCACAAACAAGAAGATTTGTGCTGACAATACTTTTTATACCAAAATATCCCGATGGGGCTACGGTGGTAGGACTGACGCCACGCACACTAAAAATACAGCAACTCGGGATGGAGCGAATAG